TCTTTTGTCCCTCCCTTCCATCCGTCCTCTCTTCCCCTGCCTGAGGGGGCTGCACGAATAACACGTAGCAGGTAGGAAAAACATATACTCCTAACGGGGTACGATCGAAGACGAAGATGGCGGGTATCGCGGGTATGGACCCGCGAGCAGATAAGAGCGAATAGTCTTAAACTGATTGTTATTGTTGCTGCTGCTGTTGAAGTCTCACTTGAAGCATAATAATTGTTGATTCCCCCCTCCGGTGTCACTTGCGTTTTTTCCATTAAAGAGCTTCCCCCGGGGCTCGCACCCTGTCTTTTATCAGGGAAAGCCACGGGGCTTAAACTCTGCCCCTGGCCCACGGTTTGCAACAACAGCGGCTCCCACCTGATGCCTCCTCACAATGTATTCCCAAATCGCGCTCTCGCGCGGGACTTCCTCACAAATCATGTACGCATCGCGCTCTCGCGTGGGACTTCCTGACCATTTATTCAGACAGTGTGCCCTCGGCGCTCAGGAATCACGCTCTCGCAATTGGCTTTTCTCGCGATTTACTTGGGAATCGCGCCAATGCTTGAGACCTCCATGCAGGACCCACGCTTCGCAACCCGCCTGCTCGACCCCGTCGCCCGGGCCCGTCTTCCCGACCTGCCCGCCATGGGTCTGCCCACCCGATCTGCCCGTCTGGTTCTACCACTTGTTTTGTGCTCCTTGCCCCCCTCCTGCAAATTGTTCTCGTGCTCCATCCTCCTCCCTTCCCCTTCCACCCGTCCTCTCTTCTCTTGTTCTAGGGGCTACACTAAATGCAAGTGGCAGGTAAGGAAGATATGCCCCCAACGGGGTACGATCGAAGACGACGAGGGCGGGTACCAAGGGTTTGGGATTTACGTATTGATTGGCACGTGAGCAGATAGGAGCGAACAGTCTTACACTCATTGCTGTTGTTGTGGTTGTTGTGGTTGTTGTTGTTGATGCTGTTGTTGTTGTTGTTGTTGTTGCTGTGGTTGTGGTTGTGGTTGTTGTTGCTGCTGCTGTTGTTGCTGCTGTTGTTGCTGTTTCTCTAAAAAAGCAAAATCATCCAGCTAAACATAAAACGTTCGGCGCTCCGCGCGGATGGGGGGTCCAGCACCGATCCAGGAAATCCGCGCGGACAGCCGAGAGTTTATGCTTGTGCATTTGCTTCTTCTCCGACCTCAGCCACGTACTTCACGCCAGAGGCAGACTCCACCTTCACAGTGTTGGGCAGGATGTCGATGCCACCCTCCGTCGTGTCCTCCAGGAACACGGCTGCGACCCTGCAGGGCTGCCATCGATCCTGCGAGCTGCTCCAGACGAAGACGTCGTCGCCCACGGAGTAGCCGCACACGCCTTCTCGCTCCGCCGCCTGGGACGGCGACGCGCTCGGCGGCTGCTGGGGCAGCTCGGCGAGCGCGCCATCGCCCTGCTCGAGCGCGCGCAGCGTTGGCACCAGGCCGCCCACCTCACTCTGCAAAGGCGCGCACGCCTCCCCCATAACCTCCTCCTCAGCAGCCGGCGCGGCAGCCTCCTCCGCAGCCAGTTCTGGCCGCCGTGGCACCTCGGCGGCGGGGGCCGCCACCTCCTGCTGAGGAGTCGCCGGAGCCACAACTGGCGCTGAGGCCTCCTCCACAGCTGGTGCGGATGCCTTTCCCGCGTGCAGCTGCGGCACCGCGGCGGCGGGGGTCGCCTCCGCCAGCCGCAGCTCTTGCTGAGCAGCCTCTGGGCAAGTAGACGGCGCCACGGCTTCCTCCGCAGCCGGTACGGCGGCCTCCTCCACAGACTGCTCTAGCTGTCGCGGCGCCTCGGCTGTCTGGGTCGCCTCTGCTTGCAGCGCGTCTTGCTGAGGAGTCGCCGAGGCGACCTCGGCAGCTGGCGCGGGGGCCTCCTCTCTAGACCACTGCGGTACCTCGGCGGCCTGGGCTTTCTGTGCGGGCGACGCCTCCTGCTGAGACGCTGCATGGGCGGCAGGTGTCGCCGAGGCCTCCCCCGCAGTTTGCGCGGCCGCCTCCTTCACGAGCGGCTCCGGCTGCCGCGGAACTTCGGCGGCCAGGGCGGCCTCTTCGCAGGGTGCGGCGACGGCCTCCACGGCAGCGGCAGCAAAAGCACCCTCGCCCGGCGCGGCGGCGGCCTGCAACGCGGCCAAAGCGGCGGGAGCCTCTTCTGCCATGGGCGCTGTGGCGGCCTCCTCGGCGGGCGCCGGGACGGCCTCCTCGCAAGGAGTCGCGACGGCCCCCACGGCGGCGGCAGCGGGGGAGGTCTCCTCGGCGGGCGCCGGGACGGCCTCCTCGCAAGGAGTCGCGACGGCCCCCACGGCGGCGGCAGCGGTGAGAGCCTCTTCTGTGGGCGCTGTGGCGGCCTCCTCGGCGGGCGCTGGGCGGGCCTCTTCGCAAAGAGTCGCGACGGCCTCCACCGCGGCGGCAGCGGGGGAGGCCTCCTCGGCGGGCGCCGGGACGGCCTCCTCGCAAGGAGTCGCGACGGCCCCCGCGGCGGCAGCGGGGGAGGCCTCCTCGGCGGGCGCCGGGACGGCCTCCTCGCAAGGAGTCGCGACGGCCCCCACGGCGGCGGCAGCGGTGAGAGCCTCTTCTGTGGGCGCTGTGGCGGCCTCCTCGGCGGGCGCTGGGCGGGCCTCTTCGCAAAGAGTCGCGACGGCCTCCACCGCGGCGGCAGCGGGGGAGGCCTCCTCGGCGGGCGCCGGGACGGCCTCCTCGCAAGGAGTCGCGACGGCCCCCGCGGCGGCAGCGGGGGAGGCCTCCTCGGCGGGCGCCGGGACGGCCTCCTCGCAAGGAGTCGCGACGGCCCCCACGGCGGCGGCAGCGGTGAGAGCCTCTTCTGTGGGCGCTGTGGCGGCCTCCTCGGCGGGCGCTGGGCGGGCCTCTTCGCAAAGAGTCGCGACGGCCTCCACCGCGGCGGCAGCGGGGGAGGCCTCCTCGGCGGGCGCCGGGACGGCCTCCTCGCAAGGAGTCGCGACGGCCCCCGCGGCGGCAGCGGGGGAGGCCTCCTGGGCGGGCGCCGGGACGGCCTCCTCGCAAGTAGTCGCGACGGCCCCCACGGCGGCGGCAGCGGTGAGAGCCTCTCCTGTGGGCGCTGTGGCGGCCTCCTCGGCGGGCGCTGGGCGGGCCTCTTCGCAAGGAGTCGCGACGGCCCCCACGGCGGCGGCAGCGGGGGAGGCCTCCTCGGCGGGCGCCGGGACGGCCTCCTCGCAAAGAGTCGCGACGGCCTCCACGGCGGCGGCAGCGGGGGAGGCCTCTTCTGTGGGCGCTGTGGCGGCCTCCTCGGCGGGCGCCGGGCGGGCCTCTTCGCAAAGAGTCGCGACGGCCTCCACCGCGGCGGCAGCGGGGGAGGCCTCCTCGGCGGGCGCCAGGACGGCCTCCTCGCAAGGAGTCGCGACGGGCGCCGGGCGGCCTCTCCGCAAGGAGTCGCGATTGCATCCACTGCGGCGGCAGCGGGGGAGGCCTCCTCGGCGGGCGCCGGGACGGCCTCCTCGCAAGGAGTCGCGACAGCCTCCACTGCGGCGGCAGCGGCGCTGGCCTCCTCGGCGGGCGCTGGGACGGCCTCCTCGCAAGGAGTCGCGACGGCCCCCACGGCGGCGGCAGCGGTGCGAGCCTCTTCTGTGGGCGCTGTGGCGGCCTCCTCGGCGGGCGCCGGGACGGCCTCTCCGCAAGGAGTCGCGATTGCATCCACTGCGGCGGCAGCGGGGGAGGCCTCCTCGGCGGGCGCCGGGACGGCCTCCTCGCAAGGAGTCGCGACAGCCTCCACTGCGGCGGCAGCGGCGCTGGCCTCCTCGGCGGGCGCTGGGACGGCCTCCTCGCAAGGAGTCGCGACGGCCCCCACGGCGGCGGCAGCGGTGCGAGCCTCTTCTGTGGGCGCTGTGGCGGCCTCCTCGGCGGGCGCCGGGACGGCCTCTCCGCAAGGAGTCGCGATTGCCTCCACTGCGGCGGCAGCGGGGGAGGCCTCCGCGGCGGGCGCCGGGACGGCCTCCTCGCAAGGAGTCGCGACGGCCCCCACGGCGGCGGCAGCGGAGGCCTCCTCGGCGGGCGCCGGGACGGCCTCCTCGCACGGAGTCGCGACGGCCCCCACGGTGGCGGCAGCGGTGAGAGCCTCTTCTGTGGGCGCTGTGGCGGCCTCCTCGGCGGGGGCCGGGCGGGCCTCTTCGCAAGGAGTCGCGACGGCCTCCACTGCGGCGGCAGCGGGAGAGGCCTCCTCGGCGGGCGCCGGGACGGCCTCCTCGCAAGGGGTCGCGGCTGCCCCCACGGCGGCGGCAGCGGTGCGAGCCTCTTCTGTGGGCGCTGTGGCGCCGGCCTCCTGCTCAGGAGCCGCTGGCGCGGCGGCTGGCGCCGCTGCCTCCTCCGCAGCTGGCGCGGCGACCTGCTCGGCAGGCTGCGGTGGCACCTCGGCGGCGGGGGCCGCCTGCGTCGGCAGCGCCTCCCGAGGGGTCGCTTCTGGGGCCGCGAGCGGCGCCGCCTCCACGGGCAGCGCCTCGGGCTCCAGAGCCGCCGGGGCCGCAGGCGGAGCCGAGGCCTCCTGCGGCGCAGCCGCAGCGGGTGGGGCCGAGGCCTCCTCCGCAGCCGGCGCGGCGGGCCGCTGCACAGGCTGCTCCGGAAGCTGCGGAGGCACCCCCTCCCGCGCGGCGGCGGCGGCCTGCGTCTCAGAGGCCCCGTGCTCCCTGGTGGCAGGAGAGGCCACGTCCTCGATGAGCGCTGGCCCCGCGGGCGTGTCGCACGGCACGATGCGACCCGAGCTCAGCGCGCCCTGGATGTGTGCCTGCAGCTCCCGGCTCCTCGGCGACGCCTCCGGGTCGATGCTGAGCCCGGCGTCCCTGGGGGGCGCAGGCGCCTGCGTCGGGATGTCGCTCTGCTCGTCCTGCCGCGCCCTCGGCGCCTCGAAGGCGACCGATGGGGTCTGCGCACGCTTCCCGCCGAAGCGCAGGGCCCTCCAGGCGAAGAGCCTGCGCTTCAGCTTCTCCTTCGCCACGGCGCCCACCTCGGCCCTGCGGATCCTCCACCAGAGCCTGACCGCAACGGTGCTCTTTGGCGTTCTCGCTGTTGCCCCGTTTGCCCTCGTGCCGTCTTCGTGCCGCCTTCGCTGCAGACCGAAGCCGACACGCAGACGGCCCACGACAACGCCACAACACCGTTGAGGCCGAGCCCTGTCCTCAGCTTCACCGCCGGGCCCTCCGCCAGCCGCGCCGCCATCAGGCCCACATCGCCACTCACCCCGTTCACCGCCTCGATGCGCATGCCGGGGGCCACCACGTAGTGGAAGAGGCCCTTGGCGATGAAACGCTGGTTGGCGGCCTCGGCCAGCCCGGCCGGCGACACGGCGGTGACCTTCAGCTCCTCTCGGGTGGAGTCTTGCTTGCTTGCCTGCCTGCTTGCCCGCCCGCCCGCCTGCTTGCCTGCTGGCGGGTGCTCCGCCGGCTCGAGGCCACTCCGCGCGACTCCTTCCAGGGCCTGAGGCCGCCAGCACCGCGCGTGCAGTGCTGCACGTGCCGCGCGCGGATCTCCGCTCGGTCTCCCTCCGCGGCCGCTCTCCTTCTCTTCCGACCGCCTCGGTGCGCCGTTCGCTCTGCCGGCGTCCGTGGCTATCGGACGCTCGTGTCTCGCGTCGCCAGTGGCAGAACAAGTTGCCTGATGGCTCACGCGCATGCATGTGGCGGGTTCCACAAACCCTGAACCCCAAAATGTTGCCATCTCTGTCGGGGATGCTTTTTGCTTCCGCTGGCTTCCGCTGGCGGAGGTAGCCTCGTTTTACTTCCGCCGCCTTCCGCTGGCCTTCCGCCGAGGATGAGATACCAGCTCAATCGATCCTCGAAGCCGACGCCCTTACTGGAACGCCTCATGTGTGTATGCGCGCGTAGTGAGTGAGTGCATGTGTGCCGGAGTGAGGGGGGGTGTCCGCACACACAGATCCATCTCAGGTCGCACGGGCGCTGCCTAGTTGGTTCTGGGCGGGCAGGTGTCGCTGCGACCTTCTTCCCTTCCTTCTCATTCCAGCCAGGGGGGGAGCGACGATGGGGGCGTAGCTCAAGGGGGGAGGAGCAATACATCCTCCTCCCCCTCCTCCTCCTCCCTGCTGCTGCTGCTGCTCCTCCTCCTCCCCCTCCTCCCTTCCTCCTCCTCCTCCTCCTCCTCCTCCTCCTCCTCCTCCTCCTCCTCCTCCTCCTCCTCCTCCTCCCCCTCTTCCCTCAAGCATAGGGGTGCGGAGCGCAATAGTACCACTTGTTTGGCTCTCACTGGCTTGCTCCAGCGTCCCGCCCAATGCCTCCACGTCGCGCTTGAAAGGCACGTTCAACGGTTATTGTCGTTTCTGGCCTTGGTTGGGACGTTCAACCGTGTGAGCGTTGGCAAGATCTGGGCGAACATCTCCTCGGCCTGCCGCGGGCATTCGCACTGGTTGCCATCAGCTGATGTTGCACGTTTGTGTGAGGACAGTGGCAATTCTGTCTGTCGGTGCGAGGCTCGGTTGAGCGTGGGGCCCGCCTCGGCAGCACTTGTTCGGGCCAGCACGTTTGAGGAAGGCACATTGTGGCGACTTATTGGCCGTTGCAAGGTCCGTCGGTACGTTGTCAGGTGCAGCGGCGCAATGGGCCAGTGCATCAACGCAGGGCGTTTCTCTTTGGTCATCAACTGCATTGCTTGGATATGCGCGTGCGCGATATGTGGACAATGGCAGCTCTCTCGGCAGGTGCCTGCTCGGTCGGACGAGCAGCTGACACCGAGAAACATCAACTACCAATTCGAATCAGCACGTGTGAGAAAGGCAGGCAGTGGCAGGTTATTGGCGGTTGCACGGCCCGTCGGCGCGTTCTCTAGTACAGTGCCGCAGTGGGCCAGTGCATCAACCCATTTCAGTTGACACCGACCGCCATCACCTACAATGCTTGGCTCTGCATGTCTGTGGCAGGCGGGCGGTGGCAGGCACAGTATGTGGTGCGAGGCTCGGTCGGTTGCGAAGCGTGCATCGACAACCGTCAGCTGCCAGTTTGAAGTAGCGCGAAGGAGAAAGGCAGGCAATGGCAGCTTCGGGGCAGTTGCACGGCCCGTCGGCGCGGTCGCAGGTTCAGAGTCGCATCGGATGCGTTTCGAATGCGGCCATTGTTTCGAATGCGGCGAGTGGGAAGGCAAATTTACACCTACCGTCATCAATTATATGGCTTGTTTCTACAAGTGCGAGCAAGGCGAACAGTGGCAAATATCTCTGGCGGTGCGGGGCTCGGCTGGGCGCGGACGCTTCCATCAGCTACATGTTCGAATGAGGGGTTGTTCGTCCTCGTCGTCGTCGCTGTCGTCGTCGTCGTCGTCGTCATCGTCGTCGTCGTCGTTGCGGTGCTCTAGCGGCCTTAAGGGAAATCGACCCACGTCGTAACGACGTCAAAGGGAGGCCCCTTCCCTTTGATCCCTCCCCCGTCGGGGGGGGGGTCCCGGAGGGGGTGGGTGGTGGGGGGGTGGGGGGGGGGGGGTCAGATACGACTCCGCCCCAAGGGCCTCCTCCTCCTCTCTCCTCCTGTCCTCCTCCCCCTCCTGCCCCTCCTGATCCTCCTCCTTCTCCTCCTCCTTCCTCCTCCTCCTCCCTCCTCCTCCTCCTCCTTCTCCTGCTCTCCTCCTCCTCCTCTTCCTCCTCCTCTCCTCTCCTCATTATCCTCGTCCTCCTCTCCTCGTCCTCGTCTCGTCCTCGTCCTCGTCCTCCTCCGCCTCCTCCTCCCCTCCTCCTCTCCCCCCCCTTGCTCCCCTCCTCTTGCTCCTCCTCTGCCTCCTCCTCCTCCTCCTCCTCCTCTTCCTCCTCCTGCTCCTCCTCACCCTCGTTTTCATCTTCGTCGTCTTCAGGGTCGGCGGCAACGGCCGTAAGGCCTTCGCAAGATCTCTGGCGGTGCGGGGCTCGGCCGCTTGCACCAGTAACCATCAGCTACATGTTCGAATCAACATGTGTGAGAGAAAGGCGGGCAGTGGCAACTTAACGGTCGTTGCACGGTCCGTCGGCGCGTTCTCACGCCCAATGTCGCAATCGACCTGTGCTTCCCAATATGGTGCAGGAGACGGGCAGGCAGTGGCTGCTTCATTTCTTGTCGCGCGGTTTGAGGCTGGAAGCGTAGGTTGCACATCCCATCGTCAGCTACAACGCTTGGAATTGGCATGGTGTTACAGCGGTCGGTGGCAGCTATCCTCAGAGGAGCGTGCTCGGGCAAGGCTGGCCAAGTTTTCAGTATATAGTTTGAACGGCTCGCATATTGTCTTGGCGCTCGTGGAATGTGTCATCTCTTGCTGTCTGTTCGGCATTTGTTGTGCTGATATTCTGTATGGGCCTTGAGTGGCCTATGAACGCTTCGGCTGGAATGCTCAGCATCGGCGGCTTGATATCTTCTCCCTTGCAATTGAGCTGTGGTAGTTACGTTCCTCCATTTATGGTGCACTGCTACCCACGTCTGTGTGGCTGGTGGGAGGGAGTAACCTGTCAGCTTCAGTTTGCCTCTGGTGTGAGGTACTCGTACGAGGTGTCAGATACGTTCCTCGTGCTTCCTGGTCCTGCCATTCAATTTGTGGGTCGTAGTGTCCGCCTTCTCGTTCGCCTTCTTCGCCGGCAAGCTCATGGGGGCACCGTGCAGCTATTTCAGAACAGACACCGTCTAGTTGCTATCCTATCCTATCATATCCTATCTTATCCTCCTCCTCCGCCCCCTCCCATTCCTCCTCCTCCTCCTCCTCCTCCTCCTGCATGCCTTTTCCTTCTAACTAACTTCTCCCTGTCGCGCCCCGAGGCCAATGTTTAGGGCGGGCCGGGCGTTTCGCCAGAGACTTCCTCACCGTTTATGACTCTGAAGCTGAAACATTGGCAGCAGTTTCACATATTGAGGGCGGGTCGTTGTCAAAACGTGGCTCTCGCCATAGCGCGGCGCACATTCGTTTAGCAATATTGCAAGAGTTTCACGGGTTGAGGGCGAGTGGTTTTCTACATGTGGCTCTCGCTTTAGAGCGGCGCACATCCGATTAACACACTTGCAAAAGGTTCACGGGTTGAGGGCTTTTTTTTCACCATGTGGCTCTCGCCTTAGCGCGGCGCACATTCGTCTACAACATGTTCAAACTGTTCACCGATTCCTATCATCAAGGTACCAGAACTCGTGTTTGGGAAGGAGTCAGGATTATGAGGGCGCAACAGTTAAGCTGAGTCTCTGTGTTGGAATCCAAGGAATGGTGTTCTGGCACGATTCAGGATCGTCAGGACGCAACAATCAGGTTGATCTGTGGCGTTGGCATCCCGAGAACAATGTTTTGGCATGCCTCAGGGTCTTCAAACGGGTGTCTTCCAACGAGGCAGTTCCTTCAATGGAAATGAACCGTTGCAGTGGCCTATGAGGAGGGAGCTTGGAGGGAGGGCTTACTCAAACATCGTTGATGACCCTTGGGTTTACACTGGTACTCCTCCTCCTCCTCCTCCTCCTCCTCCTCTCCTCTTCCTCCGCCCCCCCATCCCAGCCCACAGCCATCCCAAGCAAGCCCCCTCTCAGCCAGACTACCCCGCCTCCTCCTCCTCCTCCTCCTCCTCATTATCCTCCTCCTCCTCCTCCTTCCTCCTCCTCATTATCCTCCTCCTCCTCCTCCTCCTCCTCCTCCTTCCCCCCTCTCTCCTCCTCCTCCTCCTCCTCCTCCTCCTCCTCCTCCTCCTCCTCCTCCTCCTCCTCCTCCTCCTCCTCCTCCTCTCCTCTTCCTCCGCCCTCCCCACCCAGCCCACAGCCATCCCAAGCAGGCCCCCTCTCATCCAGACTACCCCCGCCTCCTCTCCTCCTCCTCCTCCTCCTCCTCCTCCTCCTCCTCATATCCTCCGCCTCCTCCCTCCTCCTCGCCTCCTCCGCCTCATTACCTCCTCTCCTCCTCCTCCTCCTCCTCCTCCTTCCCCTCCTCTCCTCCTCCTCCTCCTCCTCCTCCTCCTCCTCCTCCTCCTCCTCCTCTTGCGGGGCGACGATGGGAGCGAATAGCCCAGGGGGGAGCAATACATGCATCGAGGGGCGCCGATCGTCTATGTCTTCGGCGAGGCTCCTGGGCGAAGAAGCGTAATGCCCGCCCTCGGCTACTCACCCCTCAGAGTCGCCTCCGAGGGGCGGGGCGGGCGGGCGGGGGGTCTGGCAGAGGAGGCTTGCTTGGCATGGCTGTGGGGTGGGCGGGGGGGGGCTGAGGAGGAGGAGGAGGTGGAGGAGGAGGAGGAGGATGGCAAGGAGGAGGAGGAGAAGTAGAAGGAGGAGGAGAAGTAGAAGGAGGAGGAGGAGGAGGAGGAGGAGGAGGAGGAGGAGGAGACGGAGGAGGATACGGAGGAGGAGACGAAGGAGGAGGAGGGGGCCACGGGACGGCGGGGTCGACTCGCTGGGGGCCCAACAGGGGTGTCGGGCCCGGACTGCAGAGACAACTTCGTCTAAAGAAGTCGGTGCACGCGGCGGGGCCTGATGCTATCGAGTCCAGAACAGCCCCCTCGCCCCTGCAGTCAGGAACTTTTGCTTAGAGTGCCGCGGCGGCGGCCCCGGCGACACGCCACGCCCTGTGAGTGGATAGCGTGTCGCTCCGCTCCGCGGTGCGGGAGGCTGGGAGAGGCTCGGGACGCTGACGCTTTGGAATGGCGACGTAGATAGCGTGTCGCGCCGAAGCGCGGTGGGAACTGGCGGAGCGACACGCTAAGTCAAAATTCCTGACCGGATATGCGTCTGCGGGGGCTGTGGGTGTGGGAACGCGTGCTTCCGGGCAAGCTCCGCGAGGCTCTCGTGCTCAACGCTCTCCCACTCGATGCCGAAGGGCGTGCGCCTCTGAGCGTCGACCTGCGTGAGCTCCACCTGGAACCACTCTGGGTACTGTACAACAACCATCTTGACGGCAGGTGCGCGCAGTTCCTTGGACATGCCACGCACCCCCGTTATGCCGTTGACCTCAACGATGCGGTCGCCGGCGACGACTTCTGCATCTGGGTGTGCCAAGTTCCATTTGTCCAGCAAGTACCCCGAAGCCACTCGCTTCACAAAGAGCGCCTCTGGACCAACCGCGTCCGCCGACGAGGTCGACACCGGCGCACCGAGCCGCTTGGCAAACTCCACCTTGCCGCTGACAAAAGAGAAGCCCAAGGGCTCGCTCCGGGTGGCCTCCTCCGAGAGCACGACCTCCCAGAACACGCAGCCGTCTCGCTCGATCTTCTCCACGAGCCTCTGCCTGATCTGCTGCCTCGCCCGGGTGCCGCGCGTCCGCGCCTGGATGCGGACCGCAGCCCTCTGCATGGCCTCGTCCGGGGCAGAGTCCTCGGAGCCCGGGTCGGCCCCCGCCACCGACGTGCGGCCCACCGACAACGGCCCCGCCACCGGGGAGGCTGGCATCGCGGGAGGCCCTGGAGGCGCGCCCTCGCACTGCCGGGCGTCTGCCAGCGTGCTGGCGAGCGCGTCCTCGGAGCAGGGCGAGCGGAGACAGCGTGCTGGCGAGCGCGTCCTCGGAGCAGGGCGAGCGGAGACAACGGCAGCTCGACGTCGAGGGCCGGGGACCCCTCCCTGGGTCGAGGCGCGCCAGCCTTCCGAGCTGCGTCCAGCCGTGGCGACGAGGGCCCCCCCCTCTGCCGGAGGCCAACTGCCGTTGACTCGCCTCGCCCGCGTTTTTTTATGTTCGGCGATGACGGGCGTCATGGGGGGGGGATAACGTAACGCCCCCCCCCCGCCGTGTGGCTCGGGCACCACAGCCGCGCCCGCGCGCACGACGCGACGACGCGACGAGCGACGAGCGACGAGGACGACGACGACGACGCGAGCAGCATGTAGGTGGCGATCTGCCCCACTGCGACTGTGTACACCACAACGCACGCGTGCACCACAGCGCGCGTGTACGCCACAGCGCCTGCGTACACCGCAACAAGCGTGTGCAACGCAGCGCCTGTGTACACCACAGTGCTTGCGTACACTACAGCGCCGGTGTACATATGTACACCGCAGCAGCCATGTGCAACACAGCGACGCGCCTGTGTACATCACAATGCTTGCGTGCACCGCAGCGCCTGTGCACGCCACAAAGCCTGTCTACACCACAGCATTCGCGTGCAACGCAGAGCTGGTGTACACCACAGTGCCTGCGTGCATAGGACAGGTAGACGGAGCATGTATGTGAGGATCTGCTGCGGACAACCAAACGCCATGCCAGAGAAGTGCTGATAATCGAATGAGACGTTATTCTCTCCTTCCTCCCCCTCCACCTCCACCTCCACCCCATCCTCATCCTCCTCCTCCTTCTCCTCCTTTTCCTCCTCCTCCTTACCCCCTGTCGTGCGGGTTGGCGCTACAGCGCACGTGCGCATCTCAGCGTGCACCGCAAAATGGTGTATTGAATCGGTCCAGTAGGTACTCGGACGGCCAATTTAGCTGGAGCTTCCTGGACGCAGATGGGAGGAGTTAGGGTGGTGCGGGCGGACTCGGGAGGACTCGTAGATTCCAGCGGCGCATTTTTATCCGTAAGGATTCCTTTCTATTGTTTGCTGTGGAATCCACAAGCGCTCCATGTTGTCATAAGGGACGTTGATGCTGTGTTGCACACGGTTGCTGTGGTGCACACAGGTGCCGTGGTGTACGCGGGCAATGCAATGCACGCAGGCATTGTGGTGTACACTGGTGCTGTGTTGCACACGGCTGATGTGGTGTACGCAGGCGCTGTGGTGTACACAAGAGCTGTTGTGCCCGCAGGCACGGTGGCAAAAACTGACGCTGTGTTGCACGCGGCTGCTGTGGTGCACATAGGAGGTGTGGTGTACACAGGCGCTGTGGTGCACGCAGGCACTGTGGTGTACACAGGCGTTGTGTTGCAGATCGCCACCTATACTGCTGGTGCTATCCGTCATCCGCCATTCCTGAACATTCACAGACGCCGCCGGCGCGAAACGTGACGTCGTCGACCCCCCAGATGATTGCCGTCATCGGTCCGGAATAAAGAAACAGGCTCCAGCCGCGTCCGCGCACACGACGACGATGAGCAACGAGCGACGACGACGACGACGACTGCGGACCAGACTCCTATGCGGATTCCTACGCGGACGCCTACGCGAATCCCAATGCGCACGGCGGCAGTGCCCGGAGCGCACTGGGGGGGAGATCGTTACGTCGTAGGGGTGGGGGTGGAGCGGGGACCATGACTCCAGTCATGCCCGAAGCAAAAACAAAAACGGGCTAATCGTGGTCTTCGGGTCGTAGCTCTGGTCTCAGGCGGCCGCTCGGGACGATCCGGGCAGGCCCGGAACGCCCTCGGCGAGGCGCAGCTGCTGGAAGCTGGAACGCATCCCGAGGCCAGAAAACCGACGAGAACGCCCGAAAACCTCGAACCTCGAAGCTCAATACGCCCTCCGATGACGTCCTCCCCGACGTCGTCAGGCACCCCTGGAGGCGCGCCCTCGCACTGCCGGGCGTCTGCCAGCGTGCTGGCGAGCGCGTCCTCGGAGCAAGGCGAGCGGAGACAACGCAAGCTCGAGGTCGAGGGCCGGGGACCCCTCCCTGGGTCGAGGCGCGCCAGCCTTCCGAGCTGCGTCCAGCCGTGGCGACGAGGGCCCCCCCCTCTGCGGGAGGCCACCTGCCGTTGTCTCATGTTCGGCGATGACGGGCGTCATGGGGGGGGGATAACGTAACGCCCCCCCCCCGCCGTGTGGCTCGGGCACCACAGCCGCGCCCGCGCGCACGACGCGACCACGCGACGAGCGACGAGCGACGAGCGACGAGCGACGAGGACGACGACGACGACGCGAGCAGCATGTAGGTGGCGATCTGCCCCACTGCGCCTGTGTACACCACAACGCTCGCGTGCACCACAGCGCGCGTGTACGTCACAGCGCCTGCGTACACCGCAACAACCGTGTGCAACGCAGCGTCTGTGTACACCACAATGCTTGCGTACACTACAGCGCCGGTGTACATATGTACACCGCAGCAACCATGTGCAACACAGCGACGCGCCTGTGTACACCACAGTGCTTGCGTGCACCGCAGCGCCTGTGCACGCCACAAAGCCTGTCTACACCACAGCATTCGCGTGCAACGCAGAGCTGGTGTACACCACAGTGCCTGCGTGCATAGGACAGGTAGACGGAGCATGTATGTGAGGATCTGCTGCGGGCAACCAAACGCCACGCCAGGGAAGTGCTGATAATCGAATGAGACGTTCTTCTCTCCTCCCTCCTCCTCCTCCTCCTCCTCCTTTTCCTCCTCCTCCTCCTTACCCCTTGTCGTGCGGGTTGGCGCTACAGCGCACGTGCGCATCTCAGCGTGCACCGCAAAATGTGTATTGAATCGGTCCACTTGGTTCTCGGACGGCCAATTTAACTGGAGCTTCCTGGACGCAGATGGGAGGAGTTAGGGTGGTGTGGGCGGACTCGGGAGGACTCGTAGATTCCAGCGGCGCTCTTTTGTCCATAAGGATTCCTTTCTATCGTTTTCTGTGGAATCCACAAGCGCTCCATGTTGTCATAAGGAACGTTGGTGCTGTGTTGCACGCGGTTGCTGTGGTGAACGCAGGTGCCGTGGTGTACGCGGGCAGTGCAATGCACGCAGGCATAATGGTATACACTGGTACTGTGTTGCACACGGCAGGTGTGGTGTACGCAGGCGCTGTGGTGTACACAAGAACTGTTGTACCCGCAGGCACGGTGGCACAAACTGACGCTGTGTTGCACGCGGCTGCTGTGGTGCACATAGGAGGTGTGGTGTTCACAGGCGCTGTGGTACACGCAGGCACTGTGGTGTACACAGGCGTTGTGGTGCAGATCGCCACCTACATGCTGGTGCTACCCGTCCTCCGCCATTCCTAAACATTCCCAGACGCTGCCGGCGCGAAGCGTGACGTCATCGACCCCCAGATGATTGCTGTCATCGGCCCGGAAAAAAATTAGCCTGGCGAAGAACCCAACCATATGCAGTTGTCAGTACCGCAGCTGCGGGTTTCATCTTCAGTGGAACTCCCCATAGGACCACGGAGCGTGTGAGGGGTGTTCCGAGATGGGTGCCACTGGGGCATTCGGTGAAGCTCCCGATGGGGACATGAAACACGCGCGGGGCGTGCCGACATGGGTGGCGGAAACGCATGTGAGGGCCGCCACTGGGGCCTCCAGTGGAGCTCCCTATGGGTCCCCGAAACATGATGCTGCTGCGGGGGGGGTGCCGGGATGGGTGGCGGAGACGCATGTAAACGCCGCTACTGGGGCCTTCGGTGGAGCTCCCTATGGGGCCACGAAGCGCGTGAGGGGTGTACTGGGATGTGTGGCGGGGACGCATGTGAGCGCCGCCACTGGGGCCTTCGGTGCAGCTCCTTATTGGGCCACGAAACGTGTGAGGGGTGTGCCGAATTGGGTGCGGGTGGTGACGCATGCGGGCGGTGCCACTGGGGCCTTCGGTGGAGCTCCCTATGGCGCCAGGAAACCTGTTGTTGTGAAGGGCGTGCCGGGATGGGTGGCGGGGACGCATGTAATCGCGGCCGCTGGGGCCTTCGGTGGAGCTCCCTATGGGGCCACGAAGCGTGTGATGGGTGTGCCGAATTAGGTGGGTGTGGGTGACGCATGTGAGCGCCGCCACTGGGGCCTCCGGTGGATGATGGGGCCACGAAACCTGTGAGGGATGTGCCGAAATGAATATGCGGGACGCATGCGCATGTGAGCGCCGCCGCTAGGGCCTTCGGTGGAGCTCCCTATGGGGCCACGAAACGTGTGATGGGGTGTGCCGAATTGGGTGTGCGTGACGCATGCGGGCGGCAGCAATGGGGCCTTCGGTGGAGCTTCCTATGGGGCCACGAAACGTGTGAGGGGTGTGCCGACCTGGGTGTGCGTGACGCATGCGGGCTGCAGCACTGGGGCCTTCGGTGGGGCTCCCTATGGGGCCACGAAGCGTGTGAGGGGTGTGCCGAATTGGGTGTGCGTGACGCATGCGGGCGGCAGCACTGCGGCCGTCGGTGGAGCTCCGTCTGGGGCCACGAAACGTGTGAGGGGTGTGCCGAATTTTGTGTGCGTGACGCATGCGGGCGGCAGCACTGGGGCCTTCGGTGGGGCTCCCTATAGGGCCACGAAAAAAAACCCTGGCGAGGGCCGTTTTTTTTTTGTGAGGTGTGGTGTGTGTGTTGTGTGTGTGTGTGTGTGTGTGCCGAATTGGGTGTGCGGGACGCATGCGGGCGGCAGCACTGGGGCCTTCGGTGGGGCTCCCTATGGGGCCACGAAACGTGTGAGGGGTGTGCCGAAATGAGTGTGCGGGACGCATGCGGGCGGCAGCACTGGGGCCTTGTGTGGGGCTCCCCCCTCCCCCATATGGGCCACGAAACGCGATCCTTGTGAGGGTGTGCCGAATGGCCATGTGCGTGAAGCATGCGGAGGCAGGCAGCACTAGACTCGGCGGTCAGGCTCCGTATGGCGGCCACAAAGTGTGAGGGGTGTGCCGAATTGGGGTGCGTGGACGCGTGCGGGCGGCAGCACTGCGGCCTTTCGGGGGGGCTCACTATAGGGCCACGAAACGTGTGTGCTGAAGGGGTGTGCCGACCTGGGTGCGCCAGCATGTGTGGTTGCGGGCGCTACGGCGGCAGCACTAGGGCTTTCGGTGGGGCTCCCTATGGGGCCACGAAACGTGTGAGGGGTGTGCCGAATTGGGTGTGCGTGACGCACGCGGGCGGCAGCACTGGGGCCTTCGGTGGGGTTCCCTGTGGGGCCACGAAATGTGTGAGGGGTGTGCCGAATTGGGCGTGCGTGACGCATGCGGGCGGCAGCACTGGGGCTTTCGGTGGGGCTCCCTATGGGGCCACGAAACATGTGAGGGGTGTGCCGAATTGGGTGTGCGTGACGCATGCGGGCGGCAGCAATGGGGCCTTCGGCGGAGCTCCCTATGGGGCCACGAAACGTGTGAGGGGTGTGCCAACATGGATGATGATGACGATGATGATGGTGTGAGGAGGGAGGAGGGGGAGGAGGAGCGGGAGCGGGAGCGGGCGCTGTCTCTTCAAAACGAGGACCCAACACCACATGATGGTTGGGAAAAAACCAGGCTCCAGCCGCGTCTGCGCGCACGACGGCGATGAGTAACGACCGACGAGCCACGAACCACGAGCGACGACGAAGACGACGACGACGACGACGACGACGACGACGACGACGACGACGACGACGACGACGACGACGACGACGACGACGACGACGACGACGACGACGACGACGACGACGACGACGACGACGACGACGACGACGACGACGACGACGACGACGACGACGACGACGACGACGACGACGACGACGACGACGACGACGACGACTGCGGACCAGACTCCTATGCGGATTCCTACGCGGACGCCTACGCGAATCCCAATGCGCACGGCGGCAGTGCCCGGAGCGCACTGGGGGGGAGATCGTTACGTCGTAGGGGTGGGGGTGGAGCGGGGGCCATGACTCCAGTCATGCCCGAAGCAATAACAAAAACGGGCTAATCGTGGTCTTCGGGTCGTAGCTCTGGTCTCAGGCGGCCGCTCGGGACGATCCGGGCAGGCCCGGAACGCCCTCGGCGAGGCGCAGCTGCTGGAAGCTGGAACGCATCCCGAGGCCAGAAAACCGACGAGAACGCCCGAAAACCTCGAACCTCGAAGCTCAATACGCCCTCCGATGACGTCCTCCTCGACGTCGTCAGGCACCCCTGGAGGCGCGCCCTCGCACTGCCGAGCGCGTCCTCGGAGCAGGGCGAGCGGAGACAACGGCAGCTCGACGTCGAGGGCCGGGGACCCCTCCCTGGGCCCAGGCGCGCCAGCCTTCCGAGCTGCGTCCAGCCGTGGCGACGAGGGCCCCCCCCTCTGCCGGAGGCCAACTGCCGTTGACTCGCCTCGCCCTCTTCCGATCCTCGGGCCGTACCTCGGGTCTCAGGCGGCCCTTCGGGACGATCTGGGCAGCCCCGGAACGCCCTCGGCGAGGCGCAGCTGCTGGAACGCATCACCCGAGGCCAGAAAACCGTGGAGAACCGAAGAAAGCACCCGAAAACCTCGAACCTCGAAGCTCAACACGCCCTCCGATGACGTCCTCCCCGACGTCGTCAGGCACCCCTGGAGGCGAGCCCTCGCACTGCCGGGCGTCTGCCAGCGTGCTGGCGAGCGCGTCCTCCTCGCCCTCGCTGCCCAGCGCCTCGGCGGCGAGCACGGCGACCACGTCGTGGTCTCGGTGCCAGGTGACCTCAGGCGCGCCCCGTGGCCCGAGCTGGCCAGAAGCCCTGATCCAGAGGAGCCAAAGCAGCATGAGCATGAGGCCAGGAACGTTTGCTCAGCGTGTGCCCACCACGCTTCGGTGCGACACGCACGCCCCTCTGGTCCCCAGGCGTCATCGTCCCGAGCCTTTCCCAGCCTCCCCCGCCCCGCGGAGGGGAGCGACACGCCATCAGCTCGCAGGGCATGGCGTGTCGCCAGGGCCGCCGCCGCGACACTCTAAGCAAAAGTTCCTGACTGCAGGGGCGATGGGGCTGTTCTGGACTCGATAGCATCAGGCCCCGCCGCGTGCACCGACTTTTTGATCGAGCACCGACCAGAAGTTTTCGGAGGTCCGCGCGGAGATGTTTGATCGGGCGCGCCCCGTGATCCAAGCATGCCCGAAGGCATGACATCTTTTTTGCTGCTGGGAGCGGACAGGTGGAGGATGGACGGAGGAGTCCTGCAGGGGGGGCCAGGTACCGACAAGAGGATCTGTTTCTCTGCTGGCGCATGGGGTGTCGACCCCCCACGGCGAACTGGCAGCAGCTGCAACATCTGCCGCTTACGCTGAGGCCTCCAGGCGAAATTCGCGTGCCCAACGGGCCAAAGGCGTGCCAGAATCTCGGGCAAGGCGTCCCGAAGGCCTGACTCTCATCCTGTTCCCCCCTCAGCAGAATCGCCTGAAGGCTCGCTCGCTTTCCCAACATCGGCCCAGATGCCGCGGCCGCGGTGCACAGGCAGCCCTCAAGGCCTGATCCTGTTAAAACGCAACACAACCGTTAAGCTGTCGGAGGTCCGCGCGGATCTCTTTGATTGGCGCCGCCCCCTGGCGCGCTCCGCGCGCCCGGGGCGAGGGTCCAGCGCCGATCCAAGAGATCCGCGCGGACCTTCGAAGACTTGTGCTCGTGCCACAGTCACGACGTGCCGTAGCCTGCCATCGCTCGGGCGGTGCTTTCCTGCAGGCTTCGCGCGCGCTTTCCTGGTCGGCGCTCCAGGATGGTCCTCGATGGTCCTCGCCGAGAAAAAAATGCATAACCAGCCTCGAACGTACCCCTATCCCTAAGATGGGCGAGCAAAGAGCGAGGACAGTCTTCGGAAAAGGCCCTCAGAAACTGAGGGAATCCCCAAGATCGGCATCGAGGTAAGAAGATATCAAGCATAGGGATCGGGATATGTTTCAAACTGGTAAATGCACACGTCCGAGCGAGACTAAGGGAACGCCGAGTTGGGAACGAAGGCGCTCCTTTTGGGCAGGGCGAGCCTCGGCCACGGACGGGCTCCTCCGGAACGCGCCCGGGTGGACGCGGCCGACACCGCGGCAAAGCCACGGCAAGCCAGGAGAAGGAGGAGGAGGAGGAGGAGGAGGAGGCGGAGGAGGAGGAGGAGGAGGAAGAGGAGGAGGAGGAGGAGGAGAGGAGGAGGAGGAGGAGGAGGGAGGAGGAGGAGCGGGAGGAGGAGGAGGAGAGGAGGAGGAGGAGGAGGAGGAGGAGGAGGAGGCGGAGGAGGAGGAGGAGGAGGGGAGGAGGAAGAGGAGGAGGAGGAGGAGGAGGAGGAGGAGGAGGAGGAGGAGGATGAGAGGAGGAGGAGGAGAGGAGGAGGAGGCGGAGGAGGAGGTAGGAGGAGGAGGAGACGGGAGGAGGAAGAGGAGGAGAGGAGGAGGAGGAGGAGGAGGAGGCGGAGGAGGAGCGAGGAGGCGGAGGAGGAGGAGAGGGAGGGAGGAGGAGGAGGAGGAGGAGGAGGAGGGAGGAGAGGAGGAGGAGGAAGAGGAGGAGGAGGAGGAGGAGGAGGAGGAGAGAGGAGGAGGAGGAGGAACGGGAGGAGGAGGAGGAGGAGGAGGAGAAGGAGGAGGAGGCGGAGGAGGAGGAGGAGAAGGAGGAGAAGGAGGAGGACGAGGAGGAGGAGCAGACGCAGCCAGCACGGCGGCAGATCCCACGGCCAGCCCACCGCGTCCGAGGCAGCGTCTGCTCCGGTGGCCGCTGCGCCCTCCCCAAGGCGCAGGGCCTCGCCTCGGAACAAGCGGCGCGGCGGCATGTAGGGAACGGCCCGAAGACCAGAGCGACCCTTCTGAGGCCTCCGTGGCCCTTCTTTCGGCGTCTGGGTTGTATGTTTCTCCTTCGGTGGCCCTTCTCCAGCCGGCCCGATCTACCTCGGCAGCGGACGAAGCTCCCTTTCGCAAACCATCCTTTAGCGAAAACGGCCTAGGACCGAAACCGACGGACCTGGACACGCAAAAACGACGGCCGCGACGCCCTCTCGCGAACCGAAAACGGCCAATTCGCTAATCGACGTGTCAAGGCAGGAGGTCGTCAACCTCCAATCAATCCCCCTTGGGCGTGGGGCACCCCGTCGCTCGAGGGCCCGCTGGCTGCTCTGGACAACGTGCGCCGACGCTGCCGTGCGCCTGTCTGCGGCAGCGCCTCGGCCCGCGGAGCCCGCGAGGGCACCGATGGCCGACAGGGGCTCCGAGGGTGTCGGCGGAGGTCAACGGAGTGAAATCTAAACGCTTCGCGTAACCCCGTCCAGGTCCAGGGGAGGGGCCAGGGGGAGGGGTCAAGACGCCCTCCCCGCCCGCAAGCCGTCTCGCTCACTCCCACCCGCCCTCACAACACATACGCAGCACCCGAACCTGGCCCGAGCCGCAGCATATTCAGCAGTCGTCTTTGGATGGGCAGCTACTGGGGGCCAATCCGCCGCCGCCGCCGCCGCCTCCGCCGCCGCCGCCGCCCGCCGCCGCCGCCGCCGCCGCCGCGCCGCCGCCGCCGCCGCCGCCCGCTGTCCGCCACCGCCGCCGCCCGCCCGCCGCCGCCGCCCGCCCCCCGCTGCCGACCGCCGCCGCGCAGCCGCTGCCGCCGCAGCCGCTGCCGCCACCGCTGCCGCCGCCGCCGCCGCCGCCACCACCGCCGCCACCGCCGCCACCGCCGCCGCCACCGCCGCTGGCGCCGGAGCCGCCGCCGGCGCCACCGCCGCAGCCGCCGCAGCCGCTGCCCCCGCCGCACCTGCCGCAGCCGCCGCCGCCGCCAAGTGTACTCTGCATGGTTTTTGACAGGGATGGTGGGAGGAGGCCGCATCGGGTTCGCTGCGCATGCTCCGAATTTGGAGGCAGAGTGTTTTACTGGTTTTTACAATGCATGGTGGGGGGGTGCCCTCATTGACTCGGGTTGGCTCCCAGTCGCCTGGGGGAGGGGGTGTATATTAATAGGGAGCAATGATTAAACCCCTCCCCGAAGGAGAAGAAGGGGGTGGAAGAGGAAACGCCCTAAACCACCTACGCCCACAGGGCTGGTGGGAATTCTCGTTTTACGGGAAGAGCGGAAAGGGGGGAGGAATTCCCAGCGATCAAGCACCAAGCAGCTCCGCGAGGAAAGCGCTGAGCGTCGGCACTTGTCTTCGGAAACGCACAGAAGCGGAAACGTGAGAACAGCGAGATCATGAGTGGGCAGCGTGCTTGCTAAAATCGCCCACGGGGGCGAGGGGAAGAGAGGAAAGGCACGCTACGAAAATCCGCCGACACTTCGGCATGTGAGAGACGCTGTCGTCGTCTTCGTCGTCGTCGCCAGTCCCGAGGGACTCGGAGAATGAAGAGACAAGAAACGTCGTTGTTCAGTCGATTCTCTTCCCTTCTCTTTTTCCCCTCCCTGACGGGGGGGATCCGGGTGGGGGGGCGGGGGGGTCTGTACGGAAGGGGTGTGTGTGGGGGGTCCCGGGTCAGATTATCGCCCAGGTCCCCCCTGTGGACGAGGGGGACAGGGTGGAGGTCCCCCCCCGCATCCCCCGCTCCCCTTCCTCGTCCCCCCTGTGGACGGCGGGTATATAGGGAGGGTCCCCTTTGTCACCCCCCCCCGTCCCCTCCTCGGTGCCGTGGACAGGGGGGGCAGGGAAGGGGAGTCCTCCTTGCCCCTCCCCCCCCTCCGTCCCCTCCCATGTCCCCCCTGTGGACGAGTCCCCCTATACTCCCCCCTCCCCTCCCCCCCCCGTGGACAGGGGGGACAAAGGGAGGGTCCCTCCTGCTCCACCCCCCCCCACCCTCCCCTCCCCGGTCCCCCTTGTGGACAGGGGGACATGTGGGCAGGAGGGGGGACAGGGGGGTGTCCCCCCAGTCAGGGGGAACTCAAGACCCCTCCCCCTCCCCCCCCTCTCCCCCCAATCTCCCCTTTGCACCAGGTGACAGGGGGGTGGACCCTCTGCGGACAGGTGGAACTGAAGACCCCTTCCCCCGCCTCTTCCCTGTGGACAATGAGACGACGGGACCACCCATTCCAGCGGGGTCACCAGCAAAGGTCCCGGGGAAGGTCCCGCCTTCAGGGTTAGCGGCGCCAGCCGTAAGGCCTTCACAATATGCACACAAGCAGCCATCGACGAGCGCCCCTGTCTTCAAGGGAGGGCGGCGGTGTATGAAATCGCTGGCTCGTGGTGGTGATTTTTTCCTATGGAACGCAGCTCCCCTCACGCGTTATCGCGCCTCAAAATGAAAGGACACGCGCTGCCACTACACATCTAGGAGAACAACAAGTTGCATAAACATAAGAACTCGGAGGTCCGCGCGGATTTCTCGGATCGGCGCTGGGGCCTCCTGGCGGCGCCTCCGGCGCCGCCCCTGGCGCGCTCCGCGCGCCAGGGAGGGATCCGAGAAATCCGCGCGAACCTCCGAGTTGTTCTGTTTATGCCACTTTTTGTTCCCTAGCATCGTCCCCCCCACGACAGCGCAGAGCATAGCTGATGCCCGCGGCCCACCACGCAGCGCGTCGTCGAGGCTGCGCGCAGCAAGAGGGAGGAGCAAAGCGGCGGAGGACGCGGGCCGGGAAGGGAGGCCACTGTGGGCGGAGCCCCGTGGCCCAATCGGCCATTCATATAACCCACACGGCGGCCGCCAGGAGGGGGAGGTGAAGGATGGAGAGAGAGAGAGAGGGAGAAAGAGAGAGAGAGAGAGAGAGAGAGAAAGAGAGAAAGAGAGAGAGAGAGAGAGAGGGGAGAGAGAGAGAGAGAGAAGACAGAGAGAGAGAGGGAGGGGGAGAAAGAGAGAGAGAGAGAGAGGACAGAGAGAGAGAGAGAGGGGGAGAGAAAGAGAGAGAGAGAGAGAGAAAACAGCTGGAAGAAAGCCGGCAGAGAAAGACCAGCTCCTGCGCGCGCAGACCGCAATCCCCGAGCATTGCCGGAGGGGGTACTTGCACAGCAAGCCTTCACGAGCCAAACGGTGAAACAAGAAAGGCCGCCGACCCAGCGAGGGGTCCGAATCAGACGGGCGAGCGCAAAGTGCCGATAATGCCATGCCAGCGCATCGCAGAAGAGCACGGAGAATGACGAAAAGAAGAGCAGCAGGGAGCAGGCGGGAAGAAGCGGACGGCCTGGCAGATACGATGAACAATGTGGAGCCAGACATGGGGGGGGCAAGGGACGGGAGGCTCTGAGAGCAAACCGCACCTGACGCCCCCAGGGCGGTGGGCGCCGCCCCGTGGGAGGGAGGCTAGCGCCACTGAACATAAAAACTTTAAGTGTGACATGCACTGCAACGCTGTGATCAAAGGGAGGGTGGAGGGGAGAGAGGAAGAAAAGGAGAGACATGGCAGCTATCCCCTATGACTAGCGTAGCGGCGGCGGCCGCACTGGCAGACCTCAGAGGACAAGCCCGGAGGACATGGGCATGAGGTCCACGTGGGTGGCACGGCCACCACCCCATAAACACATGAACAATCCACACATCCCAGGCAGATGCAAAGTGAAAATGCCCACGATGTTCCATTCCTTGCGAGTGGCCCGAGCACCACCCCATTAGCATCCCAGAACAGCAGTACTTCAAGACCAGGAAGCGCGCAAACGACAGACAGGGTGACAGACTCGACGTCGGACTCAAGGTCAGCGCTGGCGTCGTGCTGGCGACGCAGTCGGCACACGCATATCAGCGCGATGTTTGCGAAGGAGATGGGTGTGGCTGTCGCCGACGGCATCGGAGGAGCGCTTCTGCTGCTGGATGCATTGGTGCTGCTGTGAAGGGTGCTGCTGGTTGTGCTGATGCTGCTGCCCCGGGCCGTACTGGCCACAGTGGGATTGCTAGTAGCGCTGATGCAACGCGTGGCGCTGCTGGTCTCAATTGTGGTGGTCACGATGGCGCTGCTGGTGTGATTTATGGATCCCACGAGACCTAGGAATAATCCACTAGAGGGTGTCTGTGTATACTTTTGTTGCGGAGGAGAGAGGGCAAGGAGGAGGAGGAAGCGGAGGATGAGAAGGAGGGGGTGCGCAAGGAGCTTCATCGGGGACCAGCCTCAGATCGAAGATGGGCCAACACACCCAGCCGTGATCTATTGCCTACCGCGGGCGCCGGCTGGGGCGGACGAGTCCTGCCCCCCTGCGAACACTGACACCCGGCTATCCTGCGTTTTTTTTGGAGGCGCGCACAAGGGGCTAGGGGGAGGGGGGAAGGCTTCTTAGAAGGAGGCCGCTTCTTAGAAGGCGCCGGCCCTACATCTATCGATAAGGCCCGCGCCTTGTAAGACGCAGGGTGCTTCTAAGAAGCCTTACCTCCCCTGCTCGTGGCCGACGAGTGGGGGCGATAGCTGGGGGAGGAGTGGAACGTGCACCTACCGTGCCTGAAAAAGAGGAGGAGGCGGAGGCGGAGGCGGAGGCGGAGGAGGAGGAGGAGGAGGAGGAGGAGAAGGAGGAGGAGGACGAGGAGGAGGAGGAGGAGGAGGAGGAGGAGCGAGCGAGCGAGCGAGCGAGCAAGCGAGCAGCCCAGTTCCACGAGCCATCGAGGAGCCCGCTCGCCGGCCCAGGCCGCGATCGGGCGGCGGACCCGCCAGAGACCGGCGGCCCGAGGGCGGGCCCGGCGCGGCGGGCCGAGGCCCGTCTGAGCCCGCCCACGTCGGAGAGGTGCGGCAGCTCCGAGCTCTTCCTCTTCGGCGAGATCGCCTCGAACTCGCAGACGCTAGCCCCGTCCTCGGACGCGGCCTCGGCAGGGGGCGGAGGGCCCCCTTCCCCCCTGCCCCTCCTCCCCCTCTGCCCATCCCCTCGTCCTCTCCTCCCTCCTCGTGTCACCTCGTTCTCGTCCCTCCTGTCCGCTCCGCCTCCTCCGCCTCCTTCTCCTCCTTCTCCTCTTCATCATGCTCCCTATTGTTCCTCGCCTCGTCTCCTCCTCCTTCCTGACGTCGTCGTCGTCGTCGTCGTCCTCCTCCTCCTCCTCCTCCTCCTCCTCCTCCTCCTCCTCCTCTGCCTCATCCTCATCGTCATCATCATTGTCATCGTCGTCATCATCATCCATCATCATTTATTCTCATCATCACCATCACCAGCATCATCAGCACGAGCACCAGCATCAACATCAATATCAACCATCATCCACCATCCATCATCAGCCACCCATCATTCATCATGATCAGCATCGTCGTCATGATCTGCATCTGCATCTGCATCATGATTTATACCATCATGCGCATCGGTTTCTGCATCATCATCATCATCATCATCATCATCATCATCATCATCATCATCATCATCATCATCATCATCATTGGCGTCGTCGTCGTCACAACCGTCATCACCACCATCATCACCAGTACCACTCACCACAATCAACATCACCAGCAGCAGCATCAGCACCATCATCACCATCATCACCATCGTCACCATCACCATCATCATCATCATCATCATCATCATAATCATCATCATCATCATCATCATCATTATCATCATCACCATCACCATCATCACCAGCATCATCAGCAGCAACAGCAACATCCACCCCTTCCCTCCATCCTCCTCCCCTCCTCTCCTCCGCCTCCTCCTCCTCATCGTCATCATCAGCATCATCATCATCTGAACCAGCATCTGCGTCATCATCTGCATCATCAGCATCATCAGCATCAGCATCAGCATCAGCATCACCATCACCATCATCATCATCATCATCATCATCATCATCATCATCATCATCAGCATCACCATCATCATCATCATCATCATCGTCATCATCAGCATCACCACCATCACCATCATCATCTGCATAACCATTACGCTACCGATGAAACCCAGATACTTTGTTTTACGTCTTGTGTGCACCACACTGTCACCACCACCACCCTCATCGCCCATCCTGCTCCCAACGTTTCTCATTCCCTGCTTTCCTCCGCTCTCCTGGATGAACTCCATCGCCCTCATCGTCAATCCTCCTCCTACCGTTTCACATTCCCTGCCTTCCTCCGCCCTCCTCCTCCTCCTCCTCCTCCTCTCCTCCTCCTCCTTCTCCGCCTCCTCATCGACCGCCCTGGACGACCGTTACGGATAGCGGTCGCCCTCAGAGACCACCTCTTGCGCACCCCCTATGGTGTCGAGAATATGCCATGCCTGCTGTGCCATGGACAACCGTCACGGATAGCGGCCGCGGTGAGAGACGACCCCCTGCGCACCCCCTGCGGCGTCGAGAATATACCTCGCCTGTCACGCTTTGCGAGCCCGCAACGGATAGGGAGACCACCCCAGCGCATCCTGTGGTGTCGAGAATCTGCCACGCCTGCCACGCTCTCAGACCCTGGCAGGTATAGAGGCCGCGCTGAGAGAATGTGCCATGCCTGCTGTGCCATGGACAACCGTCACGGATAGCGGCCGCGGTGAGAGACCACCCCCTGCGCACCCCCTGCGGTGTCGAGAATCTGTCATGCCCGCTGTGCCCTGGACGACCGTCGCGGATAGCGGCCGCGGTGAAAGACCACGGCCTGCGCACCTCTTACGGTGCCGAGAATATGCCATGCCTGCTGTGCCATGGACGACCGTCACGGATAGCGGCCGCGCAGATACACCACCCCCTGCGCCCCCCTATGGTGTCGAGAATGTGCCATGCCTGCTGTGCCATGGACGACCGTCACGGACAGCGGCCGCGGTGAGACACCAACCCCTGAAAACCCCCTATGGTGCCGGGAATATGCCATGCCTGCTGTGCCCTGGACGACCGTCACGGACAGCGGCCGCGGTGAGAGACCACCCCCTGCGCACCCCCTACATCCCGTTGAAAGGGAATCTGCGCCGCACCAGCGCAGAGACCCCGGCGGCGCGGCGCAGAAACCAAAACGTGTTGTGCGTTCAACTCGAGCCAGCATGTTTACAGTCCTGCTGTGGAGGGAATGTCACGCCAAGCATGCCCTGCGCAATGGTCCCACCCCCTGCGAACCCCCTCAGGTGTCGGGAAACAGCCACGCCTGATATGCCCTGCGCAATGGTCCGCATAGACGCCGCGCTCGGGGACCACTCCCTGCGCAGCCCCTCAGGTGTCGGGAAACAGCCGCGCTTGCTATGCCCTGCGCCATGGCCCGCATAGACGCCGCGCTCGGGGACCACCCGCTGCGCACCCCCTATGGTGTAGAGAAAGTGCCACGCCTGCTATGCCTTGCGCCATGGCCCGCATAGACGCCGCGCTCGGGGACCACCCCCTGCGCACCTCCTATGGTGTCGAGAAAATGCCACGCCTGCTATGCCCTGCGCCATGGCCCGCATAGACGCTGCGCTCGGGGACCACCCCCTGCGCACCTCCTATGGTGTCGAGAAAGTACCACGCCTGCTATGCCCTGCGCCATGGCCCGCATAGACGCCGCGCTCGGGGACCACCCCCTGCGCACCCCCGGTGGTGTCGAGAAAGCGCCACGCCTGCTATGCCCTGCGCCATGGCCCGCATAGACGCCGCGTCGGGGACCACCCCTGCGCACCTCCTATGGTGTCGAGAAAATACCACGCTGCTATGCCCTGCGCAATGGCCCGCATAGACGCCGCGCTCGGGGACCACCCCCTGCGCACCCCCTTATGGTGTCGAGAAAACGCCACGCCTGCTATGCCCTGCGCCATGGCCCGCATAGATGCCGCGCTCGGGGACCACCCGCTGCGCACCCCGTATGGTGCCGAGAAAATGCCACGACTGCGATGCCTGCGCAATGGCTTGCATAAACGCCGCGCTCGGGGACCACCCCCTGCGCACCCCCTATGGTGTCGAGAAAATGCCACGCCTGCTATGCCCTGCGCCATAGCGCCGCGCTCGGGACCCCCCTGCGCACCCCTATGGTGTCGAGAAAATGCCACGCCTGCTATGCCTCGGGCATACACGCCGCGCTCGGGGACCACCCCCTGCGCACCCCCTATGGTGTCGAGAAAGTGCCACGCCTGCTATGCCCTGCGCCATGGCCCGCATAGACGCCGCGCTCGGGGACCACCCCCTGCGCACCCCCTATGGTGTCGAGAAAGTGCCACGCCTGCTATGCCCTGCGCCATGGCCCGCATAGATGCCGCGCTCGGGGACCACCCGCTGCGCACCCCCTATGGTGCCGAGAAATGCCACGACTGCGATGCCCTGCGCAATGGCTTGCATAGACGCCGCGCTCGGGGACCACCCCCTGCGAACCCCCCATGGTGTCGGGAAAATGCCACGTCTGCCGTGCCCTGCGCCATGGCCCGCATAGACGCCGCGCTCGGGGTCCACCCCCTGCGCACCCGCTATGGTGTCGAGAAAGTACCACGCCTGCTGTGCCCTGCGCCATGGCCCGCATAGACGCCGCGCTCGGGGACCACCCCTGCGCACCCCCTATGGTGTCGAGAAAATGCCACGCCTGCTTTGCCCTGCGCCATGGCCCGCATAGGCGCCGCGCTCGGGGACCACCCCCTGCGCACCCCCTATGGTGTCGAGAAAACGCCACGCCTGCTATGCCCTGCGCCATGGCCCGCATAGGCGCCGCGCTCGGGGACCACCCCCTGCGAACCCCCCATGGTGTCGGGAAAATGCCAAGCCTGCCGTGCCCTGCGCCATGGCCCGCATAGACGCCGCGCTCGGGGACCACCCCCTGCGCACCCGCTATGGTGTCGAGAAAGTACCACGCCTGCTGTGCCCTGCGCCATGGCCCGCATAGACGCCGCGCTCGGGGACCACCCCTGCGCACCCCCTATGGTGTCGAGAAAATGCCACGCCTGCTATGCCCTGCGCCATGGCCCGCATAGGCGCCGCGCTCGGGGACCACCCCCTGCGCACCCCCTATGGTGTCGAGAAGGTGCCAAGCCTGCCGTGCACTGCGAATGCTACACGCACGTCTTGTATATGGCATGTCATGTGTATGTGGATGATGCGTGTGCGGCCGTATCGGGACGTGTGCCTCACGCGTGTGCCCAACATGTAGCGCATACGCGTGGGGCCGTATCGGGACATGTACCTCAGGTGTGTGTCCAGTATGCACGCATACGTCGTGTCTGTGTGTGTGTTGTGCGTGTCTGTATGTGTGTCTGTGTCTGCGTGAGGAGAGGGAGAAGGAGAGGGAGGCGGGTGAGGAAGACGCGGGTGCGACGCGGCAGAGAAGAACACCATAACCCCACGAACCATGTGGGGAATTACCACCATAATCAACAGCAGCATCGCCACCGCCATCACCATCACCATCATCGCCATCATCACTATCACCACCATCATCACCATCATCACCATCACCATCACCATCACCACCACCACCACCACCATCACCGTCACCATGACCAGCATCACCATCATCAGACGCAACATCTTTCCCCCCCTCCTCCCCCTCATCCTCCTCCTCCCCCCCCCGCCTCTCCTCCGCCTTCTCCTCCTCCTCATCGTCACCATCATCTGCATCATCATCTGCACATCTGCATCATCACCTGCACCATGAACTGCAACGCATTCCGCTTTCACATCCCTACCAGTATCATCAACACCATCACCATCAACCATCACTATCATCACCATCACCCCCATCACCATCACCACAATCATCAGCGGCACCATCATCCACCCCATCCTCCTCTTCCTCCTCCTCCTCCGTCCACCTCCTCTCCTTCGTCGCATCCTCTTCCTCCTCATCGCCATCAGCATCTGCAGCACCTTCATCACTATCATCATCCCCAGCATCATCCACCACGTCATCATCAACATCACCATCTTCACCTGCCTCAGCATCACCATCATC